ATAGAAGATAATTTTACAACTGTGTAGTATACAAATTGGATGACTTAAATGGAGAGAATTTTTAAAAACTGAATTAACAAATTCTGTTGATAAAAATTTTTGTGAAATAAATGATGCAACTACATGTATTACTATTGATCATTATTCAATTTGAATTTAAAATAATAGTAAATGCTTATCTATAAAAATTATAGACAAGATTTCCTAGAAATATGTATAATTGATTAAATAGTATAAATTTACCAATTAATGAAGGTTAGAAATAAACTTATAATTAAAGCCTTATATATATATTTGATGGTTTACAAATAGTACATGCAATTTGGTTCTGTTAACAGATGTTTAAATGTTTTTAATTAACTTGATAAACAAATATCATTTAGTTTGGTTTTCTACAAATAATTAGTAAAATCATACAAGTTCAGTTCTGGTGCTGGGATTGGGCAGTTCTGATTATATATAAAAAGTGGTATGAAAATATAACTGACCAAATATTATGCTTATATATATATATATATATATATATATATATATATATATATATATATATATATATATATATATATATATATATATATATATATATATATATATATATATATGTATATATATATATATATATATATATATATATATATATATATATATATATATATATATATATATATATATATATATATATATATATATATATATATACTATCATACAGGTTAGAGAAATTAAATTCATACTCTATCGAGTTTCGAACCAGGTCTATGAGTAATAATTTAAGCATTTATGATAGAAAATATATATATGGTAAATCTTACATTTCTTTTTACAGATTTCATTTTCAAATTTACTGTATAAATTACCATAAAGTTGTTAAATTATTATAACTGATGGAATTAAAAATGTGTTCATAAGCTGTAAGGCAGTAAATGTCTATGAAATAGTAAGAACAGCAATGAACAAAAGTTGACAACTAGTCCGACAAAACAAGCCCTAAGACTATTGGTGCTTCTGCCAGTGTCATAAATGCATCTGTAACATTTAGAAATAAATTCCATTTATCCCAATGTCTTTTTGCCTAGAATGGGGTCACATCACACCCAATGAATGCATGAAACATTGTTAATGCTTTGCTTTGGCTCTAGGTGGCTGAAATTTCATATACTACAATATACCTGTGGTGATTGCCTACACCAAAGGATGCCTGCACCTTATCATTGGAATGTTATTGGCTTGCCTGCTGTCATGAATATAATATTTTGGTGAATCCTCCTGTGCTTCTAGGCTGTCTGTTGTGTAGGCATCCTATACTATGTCCAACCACTAAACATGTTCTAGGTGTTACAGCAAATAAGGCTGGCAAACACTGTTGATGTAGTCTTGGATTGTTCTAGGTGTTAGAGCAAAGAGGCATTTAGGACTGGAACACACTGTTGATGTAATCTTGGATTGTTATGGGTGTTACAGAAAATAGGGCTAGAACACACTGTTGATGTATTCTTGGATTGGTATAGGTGTTACAGCAAATAGGGCTAGAACACACAGTTGATGTTATCTTGGATTGTTCTAGGTGTTACAGCATATAGGCATATAGGGCTGGAACACACTGTTGATGTAATCTTGGATTGTTATGGGTATTACAGAAAATAGGGCTAGAACACACTGTTGATATATTCTTGGATTGGTATAGGTGTTACAGCAAATAGGGCTGGAACACACAGTTGATGTAATCTTGGATTGTTATGGGTGTTACAGAAAATAGGGCTAGAACACACTGTTGATGTATTCTTTGATTGTTATGGGTGTTACAGCATATAGGGCTAGAACACACTGTTGATGTAATCTTGGATTGTTATGGATGTTACAGCAAATAGGGCTAGAACACACTGTTGATGTAATCTTGGATTGTTATGGGTGTTACAGCATATAGGCATATAGGACTGGAACACACTGTTGATGTATTCTTGGATTGGCATAGGTTTTACAGCAAATATGGTTAGAACACACTGTTGATGTAGTCTTGGATTGTTCTAGGTGTTACAGCATATAGGCATTTAGGACTGGAACACACTGTTGATGTAATCTTGGATTGTTCTAGGTTTTACAGCTATAGGCATATAGGATTGGAACACACTGTTGATGTAATTTTGGATTGGTATGGGTGTTACAGCAAATAGGGCTAGAACACACTGTTGATGTAACCTTGGATTGGTATAGGTATTACAGCTTATAGGCATATAGGACTGGAACACATTGTTGATGTAATCTTGGATTGTTATGGTTATTACAGCAAATAGGGCTAGAACACACTGTTGATGTAATCTTGGATTGATATAGGTCTAACAGCAAATAGGGCTAGAACACACTGTTGATGTAATCTTGAATTGTTATGGGTTTTACAGCTAATAGGGCTAGAACAAACTGTTGATGTAATCTTGGATTGTTCTAGGTGTTACAGCAAATAGGCATATAGGACTGAAACACACTGTTGATGTAATCTTGGATTGTTATGGATGTTACAGCATTTAGGGCTAGAACACACTGTTGATGTAATCTTGGATTGTTATGGATGTTACAGCAAATAGGGATAGAACACACTGTTGATGTATTCTTGGATTGTTATGGATGTTACAGCATTTAGGGCTAGAACACACTGTTGATGTAATCTTGGATTGTTATGGGTGTTACAGCAAATAGGCATATAGGACTGGAACACACTGTTGATGTAATCTTGGATTGTTATGGATGTTACAGCAAATAGGGCTAGAACACACTGTTGATGTAATCTTGGATTGTTATGGATGTTACAGCATTTAGGGCTAGAACACACTGTTGATGTAATCTTGGATTGTTATGGGTGTTACAGCAAATAGGGATAGAACACACTGTTGATGTAATCTTGGATTGTTATGGATATTACAGCAAATAGGGAGCTTTTTTCCTGGAGAATAATGGCAGCTTGTTCTTCTGTATTGATTCTTTGGATCATGATACAAATCTGTCTTGAGAAAAGAGTTTAATTTGTTCCTGACCAAGTTTGTGAGCACTTTTACAAGAACATTCCCCTAGTCATGGATCTGATCTAGTGCCATAGTGGAGAATGGATGCTTTGTTTTATGTGCCACAAACCATCCCAAGCAGAATTCTTGGTTTGCTTTTACATGTTTCTTGGGCAAAAAATACATCGCTTATGTGAATAAACAGCCACTATTTATAGTTGATGTGATCCAGGCTAAACACTCATAGCATTAATAGAACAAGTGATTCTAGATACTCTATTGAGTTTACTTCCCAATTCATTATATCAGTTGGCATATGCAAATATCTAGTTCAGAAATAATTGACCATTATTGACACTGTGGTTGTTCTACTGACATTTTCTTGCACCGAGGTCCAGCCATCTTTTACATTTGGTACAGTTTCACAGTATGTGTTATATGCCTGATGCTGCAGGAATGAGGATGAATATTGCAACTATTATTGATTTGGTGGGCATGCCTGGTCTAAACAAGATATACAGCCTTGATCAAGGAATAAGCTACTTCACTTTTAGTAATACAAGAAGTATGGGATAGCAGTTGTCCATCCACTGCCATCAAGAATGTCTCTAAAGCTCATGAATGCGGCAATTTAAGTTTGGAGTCCACCAAACATAATCTGAAATTTGTCTTCACAGTGAGTGTCACTAAAGTGCCACTGGATTGTTTTACCAGTAGCAATACTGTAGCCAACCACCTTGATCATGTTTATGGAATGCATTGTCATGGCAAAATAATGTGCACATTCCAAGCAAGTGACATGAAGGCAACCATTATAGGTCTGTTAATGCTGGTTGTAATTAGGCATAGTAAGCTGACCTTGAGATTAGAAATCTCTGGAAACTTGTGCTGAATAAAGTAGCTGCCTCAGATGTTCAGATGTTCCTTTGGTAATGCTTGCTCTAGCAGAACTACAGTGTACCACAATACAGTTCACCACAATAAGAAATACTATCATAAATTTACCTCTACAAACAGTTATAAGTTCAGTTTCTTCTCTTGTACCATTGACACTTTGCATTCCTTCCCATACACTGTTGCAGAAACTCCTAGCTTGGTATCCTAACCTTCTAGGCTGTAAGCCAGCTACAAGTAAGGCCTGAGGATTCGCAAAGCTATGACAGTTAAGGTACAATTACCTCTCCACCACTGTGGTAGCTGGACAGGTCTTAGATGAAGGGACGAAACTGTAGCTTGGCAAAACTTTTCTGACTTCATTTTTTAATTACTATTTCTACCTGCCCTATTACTCTGTTCATTTTCCTTTCTCCCATGCACTGGGGCCCTGAGTGGCCGTTCCGGATCACTGACATGTCCTTTGTCTATGTGGGTTTGATTCTCATGTTCGGCTAACGTGGATGCGTGAGAAAGCCTGCCAGTAGCTTCTCGTGGGTCAGTGGTTCTTCCCGGGGGTTTTCAGGGTTCTTCCTCCACCATTTATGCTGGCCGCTATGCATAGCCTATCTTGTGCTGAACAATGGCGTTAAACCCTACAATAACAATAATGCCCGTACACCACCATTATGACTGCAACGGCCTACCAGATAGATCGATTGATCGTGCATTGGTTAGACTATGTACTCGGGTTTTGCAGGTCCTATTGCACGAGGTACAGTAAGATAGGGAGAGCTTTTGTTGGTCCTATTGCATGATACACGATAGTAATTATCTTAGGCAGAGCTGCTGGATCGGCACATCGGTATATGAAATATGCAGTGCACCAAGTTTTCCCCCTCGGATTTTCCATACCATTAATTTTTGGGAGATCGCGTGATGTTCATTTTGCCACCACTGTTCACCGCATGAAGGAAATGCGAATGCCATTTATTGAACCAGTTAGTGGAGCTAGGATAGTAGTCTATACTATCGACATCACTTGTTGCCAAGAGATGTTTAGAGAGATTTTGTGAGCACACCACATCTGATTGTTCTTCATGCATGGCACATATTTTGTTGGTTATGCCTGTAGAGACCGCTCCGGTGGCCTGGTGGTTATAGTGTCCACCTCGGATGCGAGAGGTCATGGGTTCGATCCTCTGCCGAGTCATACCAAAGACTTATAAAAATGGTATTATCAGCTGCCTCGCATGGCACTCAGCATTAAGAGGTTAGTGTTAGGACTGGTTGACCTGGTGTCAGGATAATGTGATTGGGTGGGACATAATGCTACATGTCTGCGGCATGATGCCCCAGTGCTAAATATCACTATAAACTGCCACACTGCAGACATCGTAGCGAGGGGCCCCTAGTGGTCTAAAGCGCTACGGATCACTGCCATCTCACCTCTGTCTGCGTGGGTTCGAGTCTAAGATTCGGCAAATGTGGATATGTGAGAAGCTTATCAGTAGCTTCTCGTGGGTCGGTGGTTCTTTCTGTGGATTTCACGGTTTCTTCCTCCACCATTAATACTGGCCGTCATGTATAGCCCATCGTGTGCTAAAAATGGCGTTAAGCCCCAAAACAAGAACAAGGACAACATCGAAGCGATATGACTGAAAAATTTTTAAAGCTACGTAATACAGTAAGGGATACAGGTACATATTGCTCTTTGATATTTGATCCAATTGTATCATACCTAAATAGTACAGTAGGGCATATTGGTACATGTTGCTAGTTTAATAGCATCATACACAATAGTACAGTAAGGCATACAGGTACAGATTGCTCTCGACAATATGCAGGAAAATTTCCGTTGAATCGTTTTTTCACTCTGAAGACTGTTTCAGTTTAAAATATTATTAAAGTTTTGTTCCTCCCTCCGTCTATCCATCTATCCATCCTCTAAACGTTGGTTTGTAATAATATATAATACTTTGTTTTATTTTTTTTCCCCTTCAGTACAGATCATGGAGGTTATGTTCCAGAGGTAGGTAGATTAGAGTAGGCTGGACAAAGCAGACGGTGGCAGCAAAATAGTTGTTGACAACCATTAGGGTGGATGGAAGACTTCACTAATTCTTTCGCTGAATATTATTGATTATTGGAAGGAATGTGGGTCCTGTACAGAGTAGATGTTCAAATGGAAATTGAGATCCCCCACATGGTTGTCTTGTTTTTGATTTGTCACTTTTAGATTGTGGTATTATAATCATATCTTAGATGTATTGTCACAATATTCATGCTTTGGCGGACATTTTCTACAAGACTGATAACAATAAGGATATTCCATACTTTTAGATTTGGTATTTTGTAATGATTCAAAAATCATTTTGAAATAGCATGGGACCAACTGTCGAACCAGTTTCATTCATAATGGAAATGCTGGATTTCTCCATGTCACTCAGGGCAATTTTCCCGTCGGATAAAAAAATAAAGGTGTCAAAGGCTACAATGATTTATACAGTTATGCAAAACAATGTGAAGGTGTAGAGTCAGTTTTCTCCCATACAAATTAGACATCCAAAATATAAAGTGTTGTATGTGTTCTGTTTGTACCGCATAATCTATGCACAGTGATAATTGTCATGATCAAAATTGTTAGGGCTCAGCCTTTTGCATGCCCGCCATGAGGCAGAGCGTACTATGTTAGCATGTTGTGCATTTGTCTGCCAGTCTTTTATCCATTTCATTTCAAAATAACTCGAATTAATGAAGAACAGGAGCTATCGAATTTTTTAATGGCTTGTCCTCGAGGATAGGACGAATTCTACATACCTCTTTTGGAGTTAAAAGGTAAATAAAGCTCACTATGGAGGATAGAAGAAAAGTGGTTTTGGGAAAATAACTTGAGTTCTCCCCAGTTTACAGTTTGATATATGTGCATAGCTTAAGGTAAGTAAGAGTCCTTTCGATTTCAGGGTCAAAATGTCAAGTTCATGGTGGCTGATATAAAAAAAATGGTTTTGGCGCAATAACTCGAGTTCTCCAACATTTATTGTTACAAAACATTGTGGATGGCTGGAGATTAAAAAAATATCCCTATCGATTTCAGGATCAAAGGTCCCGACGCGTAGGAAAAAAAAATGGTTTTGGTACAATAACTCGAGTTCACCACCATTTGCAGTTACAAAACTTTAGACTTTTTGAAGTAAGGAAATCCCTTCGATTTCAGGTCAAACGTTCAAGGTGACTGTGGTAGATTTGTTTGATTTGACTGTTATAAAAACTCTTTCATCAACTCTTTTAATACAATGTTTGCTATATTATGCCTTGGAAATGAGGGCTAAGTACACTTTTCAAGGACAGACCCAAGCAGCTGGTCCAGACGGCCTGGACAGGTATCGAATCAATAACCCCTGGATTATGAGTCAGGCGATCTACCTGCTGAGTTACTCTGGTTCCGTCACTGTGACAGAAAGAAAAATGACGTTTACACAGTAATGTGAGACTTCTATTGTAGATATGGACATTTTTGGATGTCTTGCGCTTTGAGTAGGGAGAAGCCTCTGTATTTGGGTCAAGAGGTCAAAATTCAAGGTCACTGACATAAAAGAAATCAGTGCTTTCTCCACAAAATGTTTTCATCAACCATGTACTTTCATTAAAGTTTGTGGATGACTTATTCCTTAATTAGAATAATTATTTTAAAGGTGGGGACAATTATAAATATGCATTGGAAATGCATTATTGGTTGCGTTTGTTAAAAAAATTCAACCTTCCTACCTTGAGAAACACCAAATTTATTTGGAGAAATTTACCATGTGCTCGTCACCAATTACTGTCAAAGGTGAAGTGGGTATGTGTCATGGTTTGTCAATCTTGGAACGTAGTATATTAACAACTACTTTGGATTTCTTTGTTTTCTAAAGGTCATAGTTCACACTAACATTCTGACCTCAATCTCAGATATGGCAAAATTATTTAAACCTTCACACTTAGACAAAACTGGGAAACATGTAGGGAAAATTTTGACCGAATCTTTTTGTTAACATCTTTGGCGTAGCTGCAATCTATTTCGATCAACCTTTGAAAATGATGCTCCCACCCCATCCCCTAACCCCGCCCCCCCCCCCCGAAAAATAGAATTATCAACTAACACCTTAAACCTATTGTTTTAAATAAAACTGACATCAATAAGTCACTCCGATATTGTGATTATATTTTTTTATTTTTAAAAACAACCAACACAAAATCGCAGATCGCAGCACCATTGATGTCTAACACATCTTATCGAAGATCTGTCGGCAGTTTATCATGAGTCAGAAAAAAAGACATAGAAAAAAAACCCAAACTAGATATTTGTTATTGTAACACAGTTGTTTCACCACTTTGCTTGAAAATTAATGACAAAACTAACCAAGGTATGACAGGCTGATTGTGCTGACTTAATAGGTCTTAACTTTGCCAATGAAAAACAAGAAATAAAAACAGTATGACTAAATGTAAACATTTAATTTTGACTAACGTTCACGTGCAACTTCATTGTATCAGAATGTACACAGTTTTTAGAGATGTCTCTCTGTCCCTTAATCAAGCTTCCTTCAGTGAAGCAAAATGATGACCTTGAAGAAAGAAAACTGTCTTTTCCAAGGCCATCTTCACAGTATGTTCTTTGTCAATTAATATACATCTGTCGTATAAAACGCTAACCATTGATGTTTTAATTATACGTTCTTCCGAAGCAGATCTGTCAATTATTAAAAAATTCTATATTATGTTCAGTTGATGGTCTGGATTTGCTAGACAGTGTTACAATTTTCACACAGGCCAGAAAATAGTTTAATGTCCTTTTATCTTTTCTCATTAGCTATTGACAGAAAGATTCCTGTTTAAGATCTCTTCATTTTTTGTCATAAATGACGACTCTAAAACTCTGAGCGATTTTTATTGAAGGATATGGGGAGGGAGGCGCCTACTTGATGCTTAATGTCCGAATTTGTTATTTAAAAAAAAATGTACACAATACTGTCCGATGCTGTATATATAAATTGTAAGTTGTTGTATTAATATTGATTTTTTTGTCTGTTGTTTGTACTAATTACAACATCTTACTATAATTTCTTTTATTGTGCCCCCTGAAGTCACGAATGGTCATAGGCTATAGACCGATGCGCAAGTTTGTCATTACATCACTGTGTTTTGTTTTTTGATTAAACATTTGATGATACAATATTTATATAATCTAATATGCATTTTTAAGTAAAGGTTGGTATTAGTGTACAATTTGAGAGTTCTGTGTCCTTCATATTGTAGATATTAGTATATCTTATAAGGGATACGAGAATATTAAACAAAAATCGAGCAATTCTAGACCAGTTTGAGGTTCATTAGCAAAGAGAACGCGAAATAATAATTTGATGATTTTATAATGACGTAAATAATTTGACAAAGCTACTTTTTATTGAAATTAACAGTTTTCATGTAAAGGGTCAAAATATTTCATGAGTTTAACATGCAGCAATGTCAGTATCAATAGATAATGCCTATTTATGTACATGTTTGGAAGATATACCACCATGATCAATTCTAGCTTTGTTGATGAAAAACACAGAAGAGAACATAAACAATAATGTGTTGATTTTAAACATAATAAAGGTTGCAATCAAATAGTTTATAAAAAATACAGCTTACATTTCATGATTACATTGTGATAAGAAGCAACATTTCAGCGCAAAATGATTTAAAAAGCGCAGTATTGAGAAAAGGATTAAATGACAATATAGGTAAATACGCAGATTCTAAATTTTATTAAATTTTATAATACAACTTGAAGACCTTGTGCACTTTTTATGGTCAGTTCAATAAGGCAATTTACGGGTGACAATTTCCTATTTAAAACGGTAAGCATAGCAATGACCCAATTTTACATAAATCTGAATTTGTATGTTCAAACAAATTGAAGAAACCCTACAAATTGTTGTAAATAAAGGTACTTGTTTGAGATTGTCTTTTTGATAGCTTGTTGAAAATCTGGAGGCATTTTATCAGCAATAAAGTTTTCTCTGAGTGTTATTTTGGTTTAAACGATGGACTAAGAACTGCTTTTAAGGAATCCTTGCTACGATTTTAAAAGTCTGTTTGCTTGCACAGATATCAGTCCTCTGTGAGAACCAATTAAACGGGACAAAATAAAATAAATCTATTGATTCGAACGAATGATTAACCAAA